AGTTTAAAACACATACTTTTTTTTTCAAGACTTCTCCTTCATACATTAATAAAAAAGGAATGCTGTTTGAAAAGATCCCAGTGCAGGATTTGCAGCCCTTGGATTGAGATAAGGCACGTAATGAACTAGCTCAAAAGGAAACCACTAAACCATACTACCAAAACCACTATTATCAACACCTCTAAATTTGTATTCATTTTAATTACAAAAGTAAATATATTCTCAAGAGATGGGAAGGGAGTCCAATAAATACAGCCACAACTGTGGTATAACCATCAACGCTTTGAAAATTATGCCTTAGTACTTTAATTCCCAACTGCTCAGAAACACAGACCACGTTAACCATGTAAAAGTCACGGCAGAGTGACATCTGTCAGCCCTGGCTGCGGCCACCCAAGCTTCCTAAAATATCTGGAAAAGAAATTGTGTGGCAATGCCAGCCCCGGGAACAGCAGCAGGAAAGGCATTTGATTTGAGATTCTCAAACTGGGATTTAGACAACCTCTTAGGGTCTTGAAAAAAATCACTTAACCCAGCTGAGTTTTCAATTCCCCTGGCAGAAAATAGTTTGGATTAAAATGAAATAATGACACATTTTCAGATGTGAAAATCTTCTCCTTGGGTGCTGAAATTATTTATATATTATGATATAACATTAATGATAACCATTAACACATCTTCCTGGACACTTTATATAATCTGGACTTTTTTTTTTTTGTCTGTTTGAGACAGGGTCTCCCTGTAGCCCCAGCTGGCCTGGAACTCACTTTGTAGACCAGGGTGGCCTCAAACTCATAGAGCTCCGCCTGCTTCTGCCTCCCGAGTGCTGGGATCACAGGCGTGAGCCACCACGCGCAGCTCAGGATAATCTGGGCATTATTTAGATTACTTGGTCTATATTCCATACACTTGTACCTACCGTATTCTCACTACAAAGACTAAGAATCTGTGTTCCGCTGGACATGGGAACACTTGGGAGACAAAGGCGGGTGGATCTCTGTGAGTTCAAGACCAGCCTGATCTACATAGTAAGTTCCAGGCCAGCTGGGGCTACAGGGAGACCCTGTCTCAGAAAGACCAAAGAGAAAAAAGAGAGAGAGAGAAAAAAAAAAGAGAAAAGAAAAAAAGAATGTGTGTTCCTCTACACTCATTAAAACCAAATGCTTCTGTTCCTTTGTTTTGACTTGTAGGCCATCTGATGAATATGTAGTCAGTCAATCTGACTTTCACTTCTGTTTCTCGTACTATGATGAGCGTGATCAAGAATCACTGAAGTAGGAGCTGGGAAGTTAGTTCAGTCTATAAAGTGCTTGTCATACAAGCATGAGGACCCAAGTTCCTTCCCAGAACCTTAAAGAAAGCCAAGTGTGGTGTTGAATTTGCAGCAGCTATGGAGAAGCAGAAGCAGGTCGAACCCTTGGGCTTGCTGGCAAGACGGCTTAGCCTACAAGTGGGTTCCAGGCCAGTGAGACACCCGGTCTCAAACATCAACGTGGGCAGTTATCCTGAAGAACAACACCCGAGGTTGACCTCTGACCTCCAGGTGCACCCTTGTGCCTACACACCTGTGTGTGCACGTGTATACACACACGAAAAAGAATCACTGTTTTTCCTTTTACGATGTCTATTCAGAGTCCTGTCCATTTTTCTATAAGTTGTCATTCTTTTTCTTGTTTATAAGTAAAAACTCTATTTCAAGGCCGGGCATGGTGCACGCCTTTAATCCCAGCACTCAGGAGGCAGAGGCAGGCAGAACTCTGTGAGTTCAGGGCCAGCCTGGCCTACATAGTGAGTTCCAGGACAGCTGGGGCTACAGGGAGACCCTGTCTCAAAAAGAACAACAACAACAAAAAAAACCTCTATTTCAAGAAAATACTCACATAACCGCCAGACAACAAGAGATTTCCAGTGGACTAGATCTATGGGTGTTCATCACTTCTTGAATTAAAAAGGCTTTAAAAGTTATCACTGAGATTTTCTCTTTTTTGATCTTTTTGAGACAGGATCTTCCTGTAGCCCCAGCTGGCCTAGAAGTCACTATATAGACCAGCCGGCCTTGAACTCGCAGAGATCCACCTGCCTCGGCCTCCTGAGTGCTGGAATTAAAGGCGTGCACCACCGCGCCTGGCTCACTGAGATTCTCTTGCTGGTAAGCACTAATCACCACACCTCGAGATTCTGCAAACAACCTATCATATATGTGAAAAAAAAACATTTTTTCTCTTTCAGATTTTGCTAAAAGGCATGCTTCCCTTCCAGTCATGGAAGGAATAGTTTAGACAGCTACTTAATGACAATTTCACCCCCAAATCATGAACATTTGGTTGACAGAAAATAAAACTGATGATGGTGGATGATATTGGGTATAAAAAATCTTGGGGCGGGGCTGGAGAGATGGCTTAGGGGTTAAGAGCACTGACTGCTCTTGCAGAGGACCCGGGTTCAATTCCCAGAACCCACATGGCGGCTACAAACCGTCCTTCCAGGGGAATCCGAAGCCCTCTTCTGACCTTCCCAGCATTGCATGACACGGGTGCACTCACATACATGCAGGCAATACTGTCATACACATAAAATAAAAATAATAATTAAAATATTAAAAACAAATCTTGGGGCTGGAGAGATGGCTCAGTGTTAAGAATCTTTGCTGTTCTTGCAGAGGACTGGAATTTGTTTCCCAAAAGCCACATTTGGCCATGTACAACCTCTGAAAGCCCAGTTCCAAGAGATCCAGTGCTTCAGCGGGCACCCACACACGTACATATACACATATACATAATGTTTTAAAATACTGATATAAAATAATTATGTAAATATATGTGTGAAGTCATTTATTTCATCACAGGTTTAAGTTCAATTATATTAATGTACAGCAATTTTCTTCATATCCATAAATGCAAGTAACCAAAGGCATACCTGTTTTCCTAGTAAATATTCAAGATGCATCAATAATTTCTTTTCATATATTTCACAGGATATATGTTTTATTCTATGACATGCAGCTATGTAGTCAAACACTCATTCTTTATTAATTCTTAAATCAGTGTGATTAACAGCAGAGACCTGTAAAATCTAACCAAGCAGCATTATAGATGTCTAAGTTCTCTTCTGTTGTCATGGGGTCCAACCAACATGTTTCACTGCAGAAGTTAGAAAGAAATGAAGATGGTTCTAAAGGCTTTCAAATTGGGCAGGTGAACAGACATTGAAATTTGTGGCAGGAAAGGACTTAACTACTTCTTTATTAACTACTCCCAACAGATAGCCTCTGACAGCAGAAAGCTTGTATGGTCAAATGAAAGGATGACAAAAATACATAAGTGTTTGCCCAAGTCTTTGGTGCTGTGTGGAACCCTAGAGACTACCAGAGAGCATTTTTGAAACTTAAGCACTTGATCTGGCTCAGGTCAGAATGCCAGCAAGAACTGAAACAGAAATACACAGACAGCTCATAGACTGGAGTCTTTTCCATCATTAGACACAGACTTAGAAGCCACAGCTCCTGCCTGTCACTCAAAATCCCTGTGACTGTCATGGCTACATTATATAAACTGTTAATGACGAAGTGACCTCATAATCTACTGCTGAGGACTTCATGAGTTAAGAACTTCCAAAGTGACATGAAGGTTCAAGCCACAGTATCATCAGACCAATGTCATGACTAAGCCAGTGGAAGAATGAACAGTGAGATGAAGAGTGTGGAAGAAAACTGAGGATCAGAGGCCAGGGAGGACAATCGGACACAGATAAGACAGGTACAGCACCAGGAAATGACATGTACAGCCTGTGACAGCCAGCAGGCAAACTAAACATCGGTCATCCCATAATCCCTACAGATCTGAAAGGTTAATACAAAACTGCATCTTCCTTAAGATGGGCCGTTTCAAATCTGCCCTATTAACATCATTTTTCTACTTTTTATTCAATTTTCTTTTCTTCTATCCCTTTATTTTCCTTCTCATCATAGACTCATCCTTCATTTCACTGCGGTTTTTGTTGCTGTTATTGCTGTTGTTGTTTTGAGCCAAGGTCTCATGTAGCCCTGGCTGACTTTGAATTTACTATATAGTGAGGGATGACCTTGAACTCCTGATCGTCCTGCCTCCACCTCTTGAGTGCTAGGATTACAGGCATGGACCACCTTGCAGGGCCTCACCTTGCATTGTTGACCTCCCTGAATAACCCTTAGACCTGCTGTAGACCACAAATATGTTATTAAACTACAAGAGTGCTAGTAAGCATGTGGCTCTTGGAACTTGATATGAAATTATTTTAATGCGTGGGATTGAAGAGATGACTCTGCAGTTAAGAGCACTGGCTGCGCTTTTAGAGGACCCAGGTTCCATTCCCAGCACCCACACGGTGGCTAACAACAGTATGTAACTACAGCTCCAAGGAACCCGAAGCCCCCTTCTGATCTCCTCAGGCATTGCACCACATGGGTGCACTCACATACACACAGGCAAAACACTCCTACGCATAAAATAAAAATAATGCATAGAATGTTAAAAAATAAAATGGTTTTAATGCAGCAGAAGTGAACTGATGCAATGTGTTATAGCATCAAGTGAATTAATGGAACATATTTCAGTATTCAATTGTTGGCTCTCTAAGAGTAACTCAAGGGGAAAGATGTGATGTTTGTGACATAAGCATTTTGCTTCATTTCTAAGCAACTTCTCAGACATTTCCATGCCTCTAACCTTGGTCACTTTGCCATATCTCTGCCTGTATCACTCACTACATGAAAGCTGCCAACTACATGGTAACATGAAGAACAGGTACCCCACTGTTGAGGTTTAGCAGCCCAGTAAGCGCAGTAGCATAAACCTCGAAGGGGAGGGACCCCTAGTGGACACCTATGTCAATCAAGGCAGTGAAGAACATTTTCTTTCCATCATATCTCAGTTCTTCATGCCACAGATAAACACAAAGACATCAGAGACATAAGACACCAATATGAAGCATTCCCACCCTGTCAGTTCCCATAGAATACAGACCTTTGGGAGGAGTGAGGTTGACTCCGTTTTTAAGGCACCATTGTACTGGCAAAATCCCCAAAGAATCTGCATGGCACAGCACTGAGAGTTTATTAGGTTCGGGTCTTAGGTCATCAATAGTCACTTGAAAAAAATGATTGTTAAAAACCTAGAAGAGAAAAAAACATCATGGTTAATCCCCCAATATTACACATATAAATGCTGGCCCTGCTGTAGACACGGAACATGTTTCATCAAATTGAGCCTAGCATAAACCACCATTTCAGTATATATTAATATAGCAATGTAGTGGTTAAGAGGGTGGAATTGATCATGGTGGTCATATATGTAGATAGACAAAATACAGAAAAGAAAAAAATGAAAACAAAAAATTAAAAGATTTAGACATGTAAACCAGAGAAAAGTAAACTAACAGAGACAGACAGACAAATCCCAGCCTATAGAAATGCTACGGTGGGCCCTGAGAGGATAGTGCTATCAGCAGGGACCAGATTCCTCACACCAGATCATCCAAAGCCTCTAAGACCTGACGTGGGAGATTTCTAGACTCGTAATGCACTATCCCTCTGTGGTGGTTTGAATGAGAAATGTCCCGATAGGATCATGTGTTTAAGCACTTGGTCCCCTGTTGGTGATGCTGTTTGGGGAGGTCATAGAATTTTTAGGGGGTGGAGCCTTGCTGGTGGAAGTATGTCACTGGGGTGGGTTTTGAAGGTTTACAGCCTCATCCCGGTTCTAGTCTACACCCTCTTCTGCCTACGTGTGAGGAAATGTGGTCAGCCAGCTTCCGGCTTCCACTGCCTTCTGTCATGCCTTCCTCTCCATTATGGAACCTTAAGTCAAAATAAACCCATTCTTCCATGAGTCACATTTGATCATGATGTTTTATTACAGCACCAAGAAATGTAACTAATACACCTTCAAAATATAATATCCTGTAGCCCAAGAGGAAGTCATTTAAAGCCAGCCTGTCCTTACTCAGTGTCTCACAGACTACAGAACCTAACTGCCTTGCTAGCCTGTCGGAGTTCACTTGCATTTTCCAAGTGCATCTTGAGTGTTACTTTGGTCACCGCTCTGGTTAGAATTATGGCCCCTACTCAAGTTTCCAAAACACAAGAGCAAACTTCTGTGTTGAAAATTCTCAGAGGACTCCTGACAACCCTGTCACATGTTCTTGAGGATAATGGCCTCTTCTATTCACCAAAGTACTCCCAGAGACATCGAAAATGTTTTGCATATAAATGTCTAATGAATGTAAGAAAAATATTGATGATGAGAAATGAAGATCATCATCTCATCTACTGAGGAGGTCAAGGCAGGAGGATCTCAAGTTCAGAAGGTCTCAAGTTTGAGGTCTGTCTGAGCTACAGAGTGAGTCCGAGGCCAGTCTAGACAATTTATTAAGACTCTGCCTCAAAGTGAAAAATAAATGCAAAAAAGATTGGGTATGATGGAGCCCAGTGGTGGGACACTTGACTAACAAGTGTGAGATTCTAGGTTCAATCTCCGGTAACTGCAAAGAAAGGAGAGAGAAAATGAGCAAAGCTGTAAGCAGGTGGCAAAAATCTTCCACACTGAAAAGCATGGTTTATTTAAAAAACAAAACAAACAAGAAACCAACCCTATTACGCAAAACAGCACAGAGAAAAAGATTACTTTCTCAACTCAATAGACATGAACTGGTCTTCCTCAGGAAAACTTTACATTTTCACTAAACTGTGTTTCCTGGCTCTTTCATTTAGAAAGCACATTCTGGAGGAAACCTACTTCATTGTGAAGCAATAATAGAAACTCAGTTCTGTACCTCTTTTTTAATTCCAATAAATTGCTCTAATTCCACTCCCTAAGGTCTGCTTTCTCAAGAAATAAAGAATCAAGCTAGCCATGATGGTACATGACTGTAATCCCAACACTGGAAGGTAGAGATATCAGGATCAGGGATTCGAAGTCAGTGTAGTCTGGGCTACAAGAGATGCTGTCTCAAAAATAAAAGGAAAAAGGAAAAGCAAAAGCAAAAAGAAAGGCTCAAAAAAGGCCAGCCTTCCAGGAAATCAAGCTCCGACAGTCTTATTTAAAATCGCAACCTCCCTCCTGCCCATGTTCAATTGCCCCCTCCGGGTACATTCTGCTCCTTAGCATTGACCTTACAATGTACTGTTATTTACTCACTCATTACTCTTCCTTGATGTCTGTTTCCCTCCATTAAAATGTATATCCCACAAACAACAGGGACTTGGTCCATGTTCCATCCTCCAGAACAATACCTGTGACCACTTAGCAATTACCTAGAAGATGACTCTGATTGGCTCTACCATGCACATACACACAGATTCCCACACATAAACAAAGAGAACGCAATCCTGGTGGCAGGCTACCCAAACTCAATCAGTGGGATCCAATCTAGATGGGTACTAAAGATTTCCAAAATCTGTTCACTGCACATTCACATGAGAATACTTCAGAGGAAAGCTTTAATAAGTTTCCTCACATCTATCAGGGCTCATGTTCTGAGGGGTGAAAAATCACGGCTTTCTGCTCCTTCTGATACAGAGCACACAGGTCTCAGAAGTGAAGTCCGGAGTATTTCACTAATTTTCTCAGAACCAGCAGCAACAGAAATAAAAGAAACACAAAAGGAAATGACAGAGAACCCCTGACTTTGAGTTCTAGTCCCTTCTTCTCATCAATGCACCGTATTTCACACACACCAACGCTGTTACCATGATCAGCATCACCTTCCAGTATTTGGAACGCCAAGCCCAACCCTGCCACACTGCTAAAGGCTGGTCACTTAACACTGGATCCACTACATGCATCTCTGCATTGGTGTCTACTCACTTTAGTCTCATTTATTATGATTTCAACCAAAATGCCGTGGAGAAAAACCTCAAAAGGGAAAAATAAAATTTTTATTGTGCAAATTAATGGCAACACAGTGTGTTGCATTCTCAAGCATAATATTACAGAATTTTTTTCAGTGTTTGGATAAATATATTTTTATTGATTCTTTGAGAATTTCAAACACAGGTACAAAGAAACAAGGCCATATCTAGCCCCCAACCCCCGCCGCCATTTGCTCCCTCAAACAAAAAATAATTTAATTATAAATGTGTTCTATACTAAGAATATTCTGATCACGCATTGCCTCAAAACAGGTCTTGAACCTGTGTATCCAGGTTCTCAGAGACAGAACCACATGTTCCAGCTCATGTACTGACACAGCAAATGCGCAACAAGACAAAAACAACATGACAGAATGGTTTAAGGATTGTCTCTCTGCCTCAAGGGGTAAGAAAAGTGAAATGAAAATGTGGTTTTAAAATAACTGAAACCACTTTCTTCTCCCTAGTGAGATCTATTTAAAGAGGAAATGGTTGTAAATGTTCAATTGCTGTCAATGAAAGTCTATCAAAATTGATATTGAAACTACTTATAACAAGCACGTCACCGTCTATCACTGTACATTGCAATAACACAGAGGTATAAAGTGTGAGAGAAGCTATCATGGACAAGCAGCGCACATCAGCTTTACTTAAGGATCAGGCAACGTTGGCACTAGTGTCTTCTGTAATGACACATACCCAGAAAAGTGAATAGCTGCCATTGTCCCATCACTCAACACTGGCACAATGGGACATTCTGGCCCGCTTTAAACAAAGGGACAGCTCTTTGGTTTGGGAAAAATTTGTGATAACCACCAGAAAACACAGTAAGAATCCCAAAGACAGTTTCCAGTAGAAAAGCTTTTAGTAAGTAGACCAAGAAGAGTGCCTGAGTTCCAACCCTAAGACTATCAAAGTAAGCATAAATCAATAGGAGTTTTTCTTTGGTAAAATTTTAAGTTGCAGACATAAGGTGCTCACAAATAAAAAAGATTAGAAAAATAAGCAGTATTTGGGATTCTAATATTTTTAGTTTTTAACACATTGTTACCACTAAAATTCTCATTTTTTTATGTTATTTTTATTTTATGTGCATGTGTGTATTGCCTGCATGTAGGTAAGTGCACCCATGTCGTGCAGTGCTGGTAGAGGTCAGAAGAGGCTGTCAGATCCCCTGGAACTGGGTTATGGACAGTTATTAGCTGCCATGTGGGTGCAGATCCAAACCCGGGTCTTCTGCAAGAACAGCCAGTGTTGTAACCGCGGAGCCGTCTCTATGTTTTACAAATCAGGAGGGAGGAAGGAAAGAAAAGAAAAGAAAGCTCAAACATGGTAATACCTGAATCACTACAAGATCAAATCCACCTTCCTTTAGAAAAAGAAATGAAAATACGATTGACCTTGAGTCTTTAATCAAATTCTCCCTCTGAAATAGAAAAGGATGGAACTGAAAATCAGATTGGTCCACGAATGCCAAGTTTGCCCATTTCTCCTCCAATTTAGTACAGGGTATTTAAGGCAGGAAATAAACAATTTGAATTTTACCATAGAGGGAACTGGTTTATGAGCAAATAGGAGTTGCTTTTCACTATTCCCAGGTATTTTCTAAGTGCAAATAGATCATCACAGAGGAGGAGCAAGCCAGTAGTTTGTGTGTGTGTGTGTGTGTGTGTGTGTGTGTGTGTGTGTGTGTGTGTGCTGTGCAGAGGAGAAAATAAGCTATCAGGTGTCTTGGCTATCACTTTCAACCTTATCCCCTAGACAGGGCGTCTCTCACTGAACCTGGACCTCGCTGATTTTTTTTTTCAGCTAGGCTAGTGGGCCAGAAAGCCCCAGTGGTCTTCCTGTCTCTACTCTCTAAGCTCTTGGGCCACAGACCTGCTATGTACAGCCACACCCAGCTTTTTATCAGGGTTCCGGGACTCTGAAGTCAGGTGCTCTTACCCACTGAGCCATCACCCTCACCCCACAAATTAGCCTTATAATATTTGTAAAACGCAACTCACCAGCAGACAACTATTCAGAGAAGGAAACGTCAACTCTTCCCACCCTAGAAGGAGGTATCTGGTTAGACTATCTCCGTCCCCACCCTAGAGAGAGCCTAAGGCAGAACTGGAATAGGGTGGTTTCTCCGTGGTTTATTCAGTGTTGCAGTGTCACTTTGCACGAGCATATTTCATCTGTTCAGCTTTGAGCTTTTTTAACACTTCTGTGACTCACTGTGGAGGTCGGCAGGAAGCGAAGCCGGAAACCCACCTTGGTCACTGATGCAGGACAGATATGAAAGGGCTCGCTCATATTCACGGTTTCCAGCTTCATCCCAACTGTGAAGAAATGGCTTCGCAGATCTGCATGGTCCTGCGTGGACAGAGGTGGAAACGTTAAAGGCCACAGCATTGTGAATTAACTCAGCAACTGTTTGGATGCTTTTCCTGTGTGTTTTCTCAAGCAACTGAAATCTCATGGGAATAACTAATCCTCACCATTTCACATGTCTAATTATTGCAAGATACTGTGGATTTAATTATTTTCTAAGGGCTAAATTGCTTTTCCAAGGAAGAGGCAGAGAGCCTTCATGGCCGTGCTGAATTTACACTAAGCAAAACAACTCACACTACATTACTTTAATCTTTCCAGGTGTTCTCCACTGAAACACAGCACAATGACACTAATGGGGGCCACCAGTCATCTGAAACCCAGCAGGGGTTCTACTGAAAATATGTGGCTTCTTGCCACCAAGTGACATGACAGGGTGTCCATCAGTGAGCCTCCATCTGCTTTCTAACAGGGTGATGATGGTTGGTCATTGGTTGTGAGTTCATGACCTGAGTGTGTGTGAGACTCCAAAGCTGCCTGGGGTGACAACTGGAACCTGACTCCTACTCAATAGGGGACACACACCCTTTTAATAGATTAATAGTGTTGACTCCTCCCCACAACCTGATGTGTGAGCCCTGGAGCTTCCCTGTCTCTCCCAGAAAACTAATTTCAATTTCTTCTTCAACTATACAGCAATAGTTGAGGTTGGCTGGACTTGGGATACCAGAATTGAAGTGGACAATACCTCACAACTCATAGAAGCAATGGACAAATAAATTCCATTTGCTTCTAGTTCCTGAGAAACTAATTATACAAATAAATATTGCTATTTCCAAATGCATCAATTGCATATGAATTACAAAACATACCTGGAGATCTATTGTTTTTGTATCTGAAAACCTCAAGTGACTTTAAAATTAATTCCACAATGCCATTCTATATCCAACTCTAGGGGTCAGACAGAGCCCTCATGGGCTGTGCCTATACTCCAACCCTCACCCCAAAAGCTGATCAATACTGTCCCTAGCCAAGAGGAGACAGAGAAGAAGAACTCCTTGTAACCCCTATCATAGGGGCTGGGGAGATGGCTTAGTTGGTAAAGTGCTTGATACGCAAGCGTGAGGACCTGAGTTCAAATCCCAGGCATCCACCTAAAAAACCAGTTGTGGTGCATGCCTATAGTCCTAGAGCTAGACGAGGGAGAGAGGCAGATCCAGGGGCTCCCTGGCCAGGCAGACTAGCTGAAACAGCCAGCTCTAGGTTCAGTGAGAGGCACGGTCTCAAAACATAAGGTGAAGGGCAACAGGAAAGGATACCCAAGGTAGACTTTGGCCTCCGCATGAGCATGCATGAGTGCCCGTGCACGCATGCACGTGTACATACACACACACACACACTACAAAAACACACACTACACACACATACACACCCCCACTACACACACACTACAAACACACACACTACACACACAAACACACCCCCACTACGCACACACACATTACACACGTACTACACACACACACAGTACAAACACACACACTACACACAGTACACACACATACACGCCCCCACTACACACATACTATACACTCACACTACACATACACACTTCATCATGGCCAGGCACTGTGGTTCACACCTCTGATTCCAGTACTAGAGAGACCGGGGCAGGAGGATTGTAAATTTGAGGCCAGCATGCACTACATATTGAGTTCTAGGCCAGCCAGTGCTACGGAGTGAGACCCTGCTTCAAAAAAACAAGGAATCAAAACAAGCAAAACTCTTCACTGCTTCACCGCTTTGTCAAAGGGACAGAGTATGTATCCATAGACTCCCAAAGACCCTTTTACGTGTGTGTGTGTGTGTGTGTGTGTGTGTGTGTGTGTGTCTGTCCCTGTGTCCTCAGAGGCCAGAAGAGGCTATCAGAGGCCCCTTGGAGCTGAAGTTACAGGTGGCTGTCAGCTGACTGGTACTGACTGATATAAGTGCCAAGAACCAAACCCAGGTCCCCTGCAAGAGCAGTACATGCTCTTAACCTCTGACCCATATCTCCAGCCCAAGACACTTTCGCTTTTCATGCAAACATAGCAGCTTGCAACGGTCTCTGTACCCTCAAATGCACAAAACTCTCAGTACTCTCAGGGTCTGGGTGAAAGGATTAGTGCCATGTACAGGGAGGGGTTAATCTGAAGGGATACGCCTCATCGGAAAATAAAAAAGAATCAAAGAGTCCTAGCTCATTCTAACCCTTTGTAAGTTCCTTCAGAACTTAACAATCAACACTTTATAAAAATTATACGCATACAGAAAAACACACGGAAGCACTCTTAGATGCCGGTAATGACTTTTGTTGTTTATGCGTCAACCTTTATAAGTCCCTTAAGAACCTCTAATCAACACTTTGTAAATTATAAGTCTAAGGAAAAGTGCAAGGTGGAATTCTTAAGTGCAGGTGATGTGGCAAATAGAGTACTTACTTTTAAAGACCAGTCAGAAAAAGGTAAGGAATTCAAAGCAACAGCAGAGGGAGTTAATACATATTAACACACACTTGGCGAAGCAGGCCTGTACACTGCAGGTGCTGAGATACAAAAGCTAAACCCAGAGTAACTAACTGACACCTGACTTACGGATCAAAAATCAATGTTCCCAGCAGGCATCAACACTCACACTCTTAGTGCTTATGGCTGAGAACTGAATCACACTGGTGGATTTTGCAGGTAAGTATTTTCCTCTTTTAAACATACATTCTTTAACCTTTTATGCTAAAATTATAATCTAACTTTCCCTGTATGTACTCAACAAGTTTAAGCAGGTATTATTATGCTATGCTGGCAATAGAGACATGTCCTATACCGGGGCTCAAGACACATTGGTAACTGTGAAGGGCTCAGGTGAATGCATTCGTTTCTCAGGACTCATTCTGTTTGCCTCTGCTGCGTCTGTCCTCTGACTCGTTGTGCAAAGCTGCTAGGCTAACCCTACTTGATATCTGGGTCACTAATCATAGCAAATGATCGCTTCTTAGCTGTTTTTATCTCCAGGGCTCTCTTGAATTTTCCATCTCTCAGTTTCCTTGTAGAGGAGGCCTGTCAGGAATCTGTACTTCTGCTCTAAGCACTGTCTTAATCCCTCAGTTCCAACATCTACACCAACTTTTCTTTGTACACTTTTGCACCAACCTCTACTCTACCAGTGAAGCCAGAGTTTCAAGTAGGACTGACCTTAACCCTAAACCCTCTCTACATCCCAGACTCTGAATTTGATGTTGATCACTGACTTGAAGAAGTCTTTAGCCAAGTCCACATTCATCCTATATCTGATGCTCTGATCCTATATAGAAATCTCCTTGGCCCCTAGGACCCTGCACTCAGATCAGTCCTCTACCTGATGCCTTATGGTATGAATACTTGTCTAGTGGAGACCAGCTGTGTCTGCCTGTTCTCAGAAATAAAGCATGCAGCAAGAAGTTTCTTCTGAAGAAACATGGCTCATCCTTGTAACCATCATGTCTACTTTCTTAAGATCATATGTGGGGGGAGGGGCTGTTGTGTATGTACTAATTGTGGGTGTTACACACATGTGCATGCAGGTGCCCATTCTGGTTCCTCGCCCCATTGCTGGATCAAGGGCAACGGGACTACTGGTACCACAACAGAGTACGAAGTCCTTAGGACATTTACAAATATGCCTGTCACATTCAAGAAATCCTGTTGATTTACATGAACTGGAATCCACTTAAAAGACTGACTGTAAAACTAACCTCCTTCAACAAATTCCAGGAACGTCATTCCCAACTACGTTCAACATCCTCATTTTTATTTTGGCTCTAAAGTAGTTTTTTTAATGATCAGAACGAAAAGACGGTTTGTTTTTATGGGGAGACCTGTCTTTACAGGCTGTCTTAACCATCTTTCTTTGGGGAAACTTTTTGTAGTGGAGCAGCATGGTAACGGAGAGTCTGTATGTGCCACGTTCTTTTCTCGGCTCAGGACTCATCAGCTTCCCTCCCTCTGAGATCTAAGCAGGTGTCACTGTCTCTTGCTGGCACACAGTGGCTCTGCATTGAGCCTTACTTGGTCTTGGGATCATATCACAGTGGAAGAAACAACTGCTACCATGTTGTAAATGCTTGCAAGCACGTTCCCTGTGGCTCTGCTTGCCCCTCACAAAGATTATGGGATGGCACCCACCTACACTGAGGAACTTAAACCACAGGGATGTTAAGTGACCGAAGACAGGCACTCACAGCCGAATTCAAACACAAACAGCCTGACTGTGAGGCCATGATGTACCTATCAGATTATATCAGAGACAGTGATGCACAGAGGAAAAAGGATTCCTTCTTTAAATAATTTGGGCTGGTAAGATGGCTCACTGGATAAAGGCTGTTCACTCCTAACAGTGGGTAGGGAAAGGGTATATCAGAGAGAATTCTGATGCTAAAAATGTTTATATTCATTCAGTCAAGGTCTTCATTGCCTTTTTTTTTTTTTTTTTTTGGTCTTTTTGAGACAGGGTCTCCCTGTAGCCCCAGCTGGCCTGGAACTCACTATGTAGACTAGGCTGGCCTTGAACTCACAGAAATCTGCCTGCCTCTGCCTCCCAAGTGCTGGGATTTAAAGGCATGAGCCACCACGCCTTGCTGCCTTTTGTTTTAAGGACTGGGTCTCATGTAGCCCAGACTGGCTTCCAATTCACCATGAAGCCAAGGATGGCTGTGAAATTCTGATTCCCCTGCCTCTACCTCCCAATAAGATGAGCATATGTCACCACATCTGGTTCATGTGGTGCCAGGAATTGAACCCAGGGTCTCATGCACATAAGACAAGCACTTTATAAATGGAGCTACATCCACAGCCCTTTCGTCAATGATCAACCAAAATACTGTCTACTTGTACATGCTGTTACATTAAGTAATGGTGACTGAAGGAATGAGTGTAGCAAAACTCCTTTGGAGCTTCCTCATTGATAGACTGATTTCCTGCTACTGTTATCAACGGTAACCACAACAGGCTAATTGGATTGGTGGTTCAACT